CCCGGAGTCCACCTTGCCCGTGCGCGCCCTGGGCGGGGCGCAGCGCGCTGATTGGGCGCCTCGCGGAGGCGGGACCGGGATTGGGCCGGGGCGGCTGCCGTCTGCGTGGCGGAAACGGGGGAGGGGCACTCCCGGGCGCGTGCGGGAAGGGGGGCAGCGGGCCGGAGGGGAAGCGGGGAGGGTCGGAAGAGGTGGGTCGCCCTCTCTGCTGGGGACGCTTTCTTCGGCGGGCAGTGGGTGTGAGCTGAGCCGCTCCGGGACCGCGGTGGTTGGGGTGATCGAGGAGAGTGGCCTACGGGTCCACACAAAGGGGAGGGGACTGAGAACTTAAGCCCGCCTCACCCCGGAGCGGCCTGGCTAGACCTGGCTTGGTGGGTCGGGAGGAGAGAGGGCCCGAGTCCGGTGGCTGGGGTGGTCGCTGGGGAGAGAGGCTGGAAATAGCTTTAAAGCGGGGCTGAAGATTGATCCTGGGGCGGAGTCTCGGGACGGGGGCACGTGATGGGAGCTTTGGGGTTAAGTCTTGGTGCTTGGGTTTGAGGCCTCGTAGTTAAGCGAGGTGGGATGGAAGGGACACGCAGAAATGGCGAGCTCAGGCCTAGTCCCTTGAGATGCGACGCAAGGATTTTGTAATTATCTTTAACCGGCCCTCTTCGCCTTCTCGCAAGGGGTCTAGAGTCCGTGTTCTCTGAAATGTTTGGAAAGAAAGAAGGACCAAGGCTCTTCTGACAACTTAGCTCTGGGAGGCATTTAGGTAACTGAAGGCCCAGGGCTCCCACCCTAAGTGGGAGGAAACACAGGGTCCTGGTGTTTGCCCTCCCCTCCTGCAGGCTGCTACCATGAGGTCAAATGAGAACACCTTGCTGCTGGGGAAGAAGGTGGTGCTGGTACCCTACACTGCAGAGCACGTGCCTAGGTAACAGTCCTGCTAATATGGGGTGCAAACCAGCTTTCCAAGATGCAGCTAGGAGGGTCAGCCTTCCTTAGCCCAAATCTCAGAGGCTGTTTCCTCTAAGAAGGAGAAACATTGCTGTGAGAAGTCATTACAGAAAGAAGTGAGCACTGAAGCAGAGGATGAAGACTTCCCTGGAGGAAGTCACCCCTCCCTTAGCTTTTCCCTTTCATCCTCTCAGCTTCCTTTTTTGGACTTTCAACAAGCAATTATTTTATGTAAACTAAATGGGTGTAAGAAAAGAAACTGCGTAATTGTAAATTAGTGACATTCCTCTGTTGCCAGTGAATATGCTTAGTTTTTTTTTTATTTTTAAGATTTGTTTATTTTAGAGAGAGTGGGAGTGAGGGGGGGAGGGGCAGAGGGAGAGAGAGAATCCTGGAGTAGGCTCCCCGCTGAGCATGGAGCCCAGACATGGGGCTCCATCCCAGGACCCTGAGATTATGACCTGAGCTGAAACCCATAGCCAGCTGCTCAACCAACTGAGCCACCCAGATGCTCCAAATATGCTCAGTTCTTGAAGACATGATGGTAGCTTGTCATCAAACTGAGCTGATGGGTTGTTTTGATGTCTACTGTTTTGAAAGGCCAGAACTGAGTCTCAGGGTGGGACTCTTGCTGGGGCAGTTGGCATATGTCTTGTAGGCTGGGATGGTGGTGATGTAGGGGTGTATTCTCTACTTGTAGTTTTTCTTTTCTTTTTTAAAGATTTGATTTATTTGAGAGAGCAAGCGCATGCACACGGGGGGGGCGGGTATAGAGGGTAGGGGAGGAGTAGGCTCTCTGCTGAGCAGGGAGCACCCTCAGGGCTCTACTGGGCTCGATCCCAGGACCCCAGGATCATGACCTGAGTTGAAGGCAGACCCTTAACTGAGCCACCCAGGCGCCCCTGTAGTTTTTCTTTTTGGGGGTTCCTGTCTGGCCTTTGTGGAGATACGTCCAGCCATCCTTACTGATGTCAGCTTGCCATATACTTCTGCTCAGGAATTTGAGGAATGTTTGACTTCAGACTACTCCTCCGCTCTGACCCCTGGGACAGGATGGGAAGCTGGGTAGACAGAACTGATCCCTCCTGCTGGTCTTTTGGAAGACCAGCCTGCTTCTAGGTCTTGTGCTTGTGGCCCTCCGCCTAAGGAGCTATTATAACCCTTTCCTTGGATTTTTGTTTTGTTTTGTTTTGTTAAAGAGAGGAGAGAGAGAGCGAACCCAAGTGTGAGCAGTGGGAGGGGCAGAGGGAGAGAGAGAGAGAATCCCAAGCAGGCTCCATGCCCAGCTCGGGGCTGGTGCAGGGCTCCATCTCACAACCTGGACATCGTGACCTGAGCCGAAATCGAGAGTCGGACGCTTAACTGACTGACCCCCCCCGGGCGTCCCTCCTTGGATCTTTTATGAGCCCTGTGTTAGCCCTGTGGGGTTCTCCTTCCTACCACCCACTTCTCAGACCTGTACTTCTGAATCAGGCCCTCCCCTGTCCCTGCAGGTACCACGAGTGGATGAAATCCGAGGAGCTGCAGCGTTTGACCGCCTCCGAGCCACTGACGCTGGAGCAGGAGTATTCAATGCAGCGGAGCTGGCGGGAGGATGCGGCCAGTGAGGATCGCCGGCCCCGGGCTGGGCTGGCAGCGGGAGGGCTGGCTCCAGAGGCCGTCTCCAGGTTCCCTCCGTTTCTCATTCCAGCTGTAGCCCTCCTGGGTCCCAGTAACCTTATGAAAACCCCTTCATGGAAAGTCTGGAAGGTGCCTGAAACCGTCATACCCTGATGCCCACGGAAGCCAGTCCCTGTGACTGAGGCTTTTGTCTTTTTCCCCACTCAGTGCATCAGGCTTGGAAGGATTTAGCGGAAGGAAAGCATGTGGGGCTCTGGTTGTAAGTCGAGGCCCTGCCCCTCACATCTCTTGCTCAAACGCACCTGTGGTTCCTGCTCTCTGAGAATATAGCTGCTGTTTGGACTCCCGTCTTTTCCTGCGTGAGGCAAATTTAGGGCTTTGGCATCAGCTAAAGGAAGCTCTGGGCCCGTTTTCCTCCTGGCACACAGTGCTCTACAGTTCTCTGGTTTGGGTAGGAAGACTGTCGTCCCTTCCCTTCCTCGGGGAGGGTAGGTGATAACCCTGTCGCCTCTTTCCTTAGAGTGTACGTTCATTGTGCTGGATGCAGAGAAGTGGCAGGCCCAGCTGAGCACCACTGAAGAGAGCTGCATGGCGGGAGATGTAAACCTCTTTCTCACAGATCTAGGGGACCCTTCCTTGGGGGAGATTGAGGTCATGATTGCAGGTTGGTTCTACCTGGCCCTGCCTTCCCTCCCTTCTGGCCCTTGGAGCCGCTGAACCTTGAGCCAGCTGAGGCTGCGTAAGGCACTCAGCTCGGTGGGAGGTTCCGCACTGGGGAGCCCGGCACCGAGCTGGGGCACGCTGCCGCCTGGCACTCCAGTGGCCTGCTGGTTCACCCGTGGTCGTTTGCTTTATTCCTGTCTTCTGCTTAGGGGTGAATTTAACCTTCGGTTTTGGGGGGTCTTCAAACTTCATTCTGCCTCATCCCCGCTGGGGGCCTGAGTGCTGGGGACCCTCCCAAAATACATGACCTTCCTTGGAGCATCTTCCCGTGCTGCGGGGGGAGCCCCTCTAGTTTGTGTCCTCCTTGGTCCCCAGCTTTCCCCTAAGACTGTCCTGATGAGGCAGGACACTGAGGTTAAAGGGTCGGCTCTGGGGTCGGGTTGCTGCGTGCCTCTAAGCTGGGAGCCCTTGTGCGAGTCGTTTCAACTCTATTTCCCTATCTGCACAACGGCAATAATAGTACCAGCCGTGCCGAGTTGAGGATGAAATGAGGTTTTGGCTGCCTCACAGCCGTGCCTACGGCGGAGCCTGGCACACGGCGCCAGTGATTGCCATTGTTTCTCCTAGAGCCCAGCTGCAGGGGCAAAGGCTTTGGCACCGAGGCTGTTCTCATGATGATGTCATATGGTAAGGAAGCCTGAGAGACAGTGGAGAAGTGGCCAGGCCCCAGGTGAGGGCGGGGGCATGTTGGGAGCAGGCCTTCTTCAGGGTGGGGGGTGGGGGCCAGGTGACAGGTGCCTCCACTGCAAAGTGGGAGAGGAAGTGCAGGGGCTGTGAGGGGTTGCTTCATCCTGTGGCTCGTCCCTCTCTCCGATCTTCTCTGGGAGGAGTGACCAAACTAGGTCTGACCAAGTTTGAGGCTAAAATTGGGCAAGGAAATGAACCGAGTATCCGGATGTTCCGGAAGCTTCACTTTGAGCAGGTAAGGATGTCGCTGGTGGGAGGGCGAGGCCCGGGGCGGGCGGTGGGGCCCAGTGGTGCTAGAGCTTGTGGCTGTAACTTAGCTGCCCCTGGTGTCCCTGGCTCACATAGGTGGCCGTGAGCAGCGTCTTCCAAGAGGTGACGTTCAGGCTGACAGTGAACGAGCATGAGCGGCAGTGGCTTCTGGAGCAGACCAGCCATGTGGAAGAGAAGTGCTATAGAGATGGGTCGTTGGAGTCCCACTGACAGCTGGCCTTGTTGGCAGCCACCCTGTGTGAATGGGGGTTTGGGACCATGCAGTCCAAAAGCCCAGAGCCCTGTAACAGAAGGTGAACTGTCAGGGCCTTTGGGGCATAGTGCCCCTGGCCCCTCTGTAGCCTGGGAATCTCCTTGTGGGGCCCTTCAGACTCTGGGCCGGACTTGCCTTGGCCTCCCTCAGGCTGGCCATGTGATGAGTGACTTCAGGGCTAGCCCATCCTCCTGGCCAGCCCTGGACTCCCGGAACCTGGAGTGGACAGCGTGAACCCCCAGGAGGCAGGGTGGAGGTGGGAGCAGAGGCGAATGGGGGCCTGGTGAATGGAAGGCCAGAGGTGCCACCCTGGGGTGGAGGCCCTGGCTAGGAGTAAAGCCTACTGCACAGCACCTTTCTTGGCTTTTCCTTGGGCCTATGTGCAGGTGAGCCACCAGAAGGCCCAGCTTGCAGCATCCAGTCCAGCGTGGTAGGATCGGGGCAGGAGGAGCTCAGTCTGCTTTTGTCCTGTAGAAGCAGGCTGAGTGTGACAAGAAGTTTGGAAGTGAATGAGCTAGGCCCTGAACAACAGGTGGCTTGGAAACTAAGTGGGCGAGTATCCTTGTCCTTGCTGCTTCCTCCTCTTTGGATCCAAGAGTGTTTTGGATGCAGCTCCTTGTGGAGCACCCCTCTATTGGTGAGGCCTGGAGCCGCTGCTTAGTTGTAAGGGCTGCAGGAAGAAGCGGAAGCCACTCAGCAGTACCTTCCTGAAGGGGACCTGTGACCTCCCAACTCTCTCTGCCTCGCTTCTCAGCCTCTGGGAGCCGCTGTGCCTGACAGCCACAAGGGGGCGCCGGAAGCACAGGTTTGGGAAGGCGGGGCTGCCGGGCAACAGGACACAGGACACCCCATGATTCCCAACTGTCCCATCGTAATCTTCGCGGCCATTGAGAGGCCAGATATATTTCAAAATGTGGTCATGGAAGAGACCCTCGAGGGTACTTGGTATTCTCAAAGGGGGGAAACCTTCAGGTGAGTTGCAGTGCTTTGCTCAAGGTAGCGGAGCCGGAACTATTGCTGGGGTCCTCAGTTCCCCCCCACCCCATCTGGTGTATTCCAACATTTCTACGCAGGAGAAAAACTAGATCTGACTTTGCTTGCTGAGTACAAAGGGATTTGTTGTGTGTCTGGCCCCTCAGTGATAGGAGTTCTGTCAGCTTTGTCAGAGGCCCCCCCCCCGGCTTCCCCACCCAACAGGTGAGGTTGGGGGGGGTCCCTCTGCTGCCCCGTGGAGCAGTCTTTAGGCTTGGCTTACCTGTGAGGGGCTTCCACTAGGGGTCACAAGCTAGAGGCAAGGTTGGGAGGGGGTGGGGCAGGCCCGAGGCCAGGGTGCGATGAAAGGGTTTTGAATGGTTTCTCTTAAGGATGGTGGGAATCTAAGCTCTAACAGGAGGGCAAGATGACCAGATAGTGACCCAGCCTTCTCTGAACCCTAGGGGCTCCCTGGGTCCTCTTTGATAAGTGGTGTCCTTGAGCATCAGTTTCCCTTACCTCCAAGCACCTCTGGGCCTGGCAGCCTCAGCCCTTGCTGGCCACCCTGGCTGACTTCCAGGATGTGGCCTCAGGTGCCAGGGGTGGAAGAGACCTGGATCTCTTGAGGAGGAGCAGGTTATTTTGCCCTTGGAAAGTCCCCTCCACCCCACCTGCCAGAGAGCATGTCCTGGACCATGTCCATGACCCTCCAGTCATGTCCACAGCCAGATAAGATGGGGAATCTGGTGTGAGCTCTGGCCACTCCTGGGGATCCCGCACCCCACTGGCTGTGAGTGGGAGAGATTAAAGCCACGTCTTTGCATTCCAAATGCAGCTCTGTCGGGATTCACAATTTCAGTGCTCTGAATTAGAAACTGCATGAAGTCCTCTGAGCATGTGGATCTTCCTTCCACTTCCTACAATAAAGATTTCTCGGGGGCAGCCTTGCATGCATCCAGGAGCTGGGCAGGTCCTATTCTCATGGGACTTGTGCAAAGCCCAGGCAGCTGCGGGGCCCAAGGCCCTGTGAACACGGCTGCCCACGTTCTACTCCCCCCCGCCTGGAGTCCAAGAAGCTTGGACTGTCCTCCCCTCCAGCTGTACCCCACCCTCTCAGCCAGAGGCTACCCTGGGAACACCCAGAGCTCTAAAAGAAGACACAGAGGCTGAGGGAGTTTGGAAGCCAGTTGAATTTCTGATGGAGTTTCCTTACAATAGGGTGGCTGGGCAGGGGTTAGACCCTCTGATGCTGCCTGGGGCTCCAGGGTAGGAGCAGAAACAAAGTTTAAGGCTGAGGTTGCCGCTATGTCCTGGATGCAACAACCTGGGAAATCATGTTAATCAAGGAAATAAAAAATCCCTCTAAACTCTGATACTGCACTCAAAAAAAAAAAATGAACAAAAATAAGATGCCCAAGCCACAGCTCAAGGATGATGGACCCATGTCCATTCCACAATGCTGTTGCTGTCATATGAAGTCCTTGATCAACCCTGGACTCCGTCATCACTTGGGGTCACGAGGGAACAGGACCTCTCACCGGGTCTTGCTTGGTGTGGGTTCCAGTGATGTCCCTGGGGAGTGGCAAGGGGCTGAAGCACTCAGTGAGGAGGATCAGGAAAGAGTCTGCTTTCTGATTGGGGCAGGATGGAAACACATTCACCTTCCCGGAGGTAAGGGAAGAGCATAGTTCTAAAAAAATCAGATTCACCCGATGTGGGGGAGGGGGGATGCTGGTGCTGATTTGTGTGCCGATTGGGGGTGGGGGGGGGGAGACAGGGAGTGAGTGAGGAGGAGGGTGAGGGAGCTGGGTTGGGGCCTGGGGGCTGGCCAGGCCCTGCCAGGTGCCTGAGGGAGGATGCTCAGAGGTTGCCGAAGAGTTCATTTTTCTTGCTCCAGTCCATCTGCGGGGCCCGCTTGCTGCTGCGCTTCTGGTGGGCCCGCTCTTTGGCCACGGCCAGGGAGATGTTGAAGTCCAAGATGGGGTCGGAGGAGGAGGAGATAGACGAGGGTGCAGTGGAGTCCTGTTTCCTGGGGCTGTCTTGGGAATTCAGCTGCAAAGAGGCAGCGGCAGAGGGCAGGAGTCAGCGCCTGGCCAGGCGTCCTGGTCCTCAGCCTCGGCAAGGTGGCTCCCTTGGGGCAGTGCCCAGGGAAGCCAGGTCACAAGGACAGAATGTGGCATAGCATGTGACCTCCAAGGCAGGCTGGTGTGCCAGGAATGAGTGTGGCCTGGGAATGGGCTTCCTGTAACCCAGTGCCAACCCTCTGTCCGCCCAGCCGGCAGCCTACCTCCTCACTGGTGTCACTGGAGATGGATCTTGCCAGGGCTGATCTGGGGCTCTCGGAGGCCACCTCGGCCAGAGTTTCACGACTGTTCTCCTGGCACAAAGGGGAAGGGTGTGGGTGGGCAAGGGATGGGGTGGGGAAGTCCTGAACGAGAAAGGGTGTTCCCAGGGAAGACAGGTGCCTCGGTCTGAGAAGCTCCACTCAAGCCTTTCCCATCGACCCCAAAGCCCCACTGCCTGAGTCTGCCGGGGAGGAGGGGGTGGGGGGGGCTTGGGGATTGCCGTTTTACATTCCTCTAAGGATCAGAGGGCAGCCTGGTTCCACCACCCAGGTGGGAGGGACCATTGTGGGATTAACTGAATTGCTCACAAGCCCCCCCAACTCCCCAGCTCTCCCAAAGTAGCCTTCAGTGTTGACTAGCCTTTTGGGCCAGTGACCATGGAGGGGCTTCATGGAGTGTGGAGATACTGAGGGCCTCTGCTTGGCACAGGGAACTGTGTGATACTCCTTGAATTTCTTGCAGCCCACGTGTTTCCTTGGACTTGACCCCAGGAATCTTGAAACCTTAACCTCAAAGCAGCTAAGAAGGGCTTTGAAGGAATAAGGGGAATGAGAGTTCTAGGCCCACAGATGGAGTGACAGAAGGTTCAGGTGGCCCAGGGCCACCCCCCCCCACTCCCACAGTGGCCCCTGGGGATGGGAGCCCTTTGAGCAGACCCTTCAGAGAGCTCCAGCTCTGTGGTCTGACTCTGCGCCAGCCTGTCCCAGAGTGAAGGTCTTGGCCAAGGCTTCAGCTTGGTGCTCAGCCTCCGCCTGGGTTCCTCTGCGGCCTCAGCTGGCACCAGGCCCCACCATCTCTTCCCCAGCCTCCACTGCCTTCTCTTCCCCTCAGCCCAGGGAGGAGGGGAGGAGGGGAGGAGGGGCTTTGTTCTCCCAGCCCAGACTGGAAGTAGCAGGGCCCAGGCAGTGTGCGTCCAGACACTGAAGCTCTGTTCTTGGGGGGAAGAATGGCCTCTTCTGTACGGTGGGGAGTTGAAGGCGGGGCTTGTCACCAGGATGGCGGGCTGCAGAGGGGCCTGGTTAGGCCTCTCCCTCCCAACTGCCTTGGCTCTACACGGGGGTTGAGGGGTGCACCGGCAGTTACAGAGCTTGGAGCTCAGGAGGGAGCAACTTGGAAACGGGAGTTTCAACCTGAGCCAGACCGCCGTCCTTGTCCCAACCATGCCACCTTCCACCCTTCTCCTGCAGCCCCTGGCTTGAGAGCCAGAGAAGCATTAGAGGGTCTGCCTTTACCTTCTGAATCTCCCCGTTGGTAAAGGGCTCAGGCAAGGGACCTAGGAAGGGAAAAAAACAAAACAGCAGAGGTGAGTCCAGAAGCTCTGGGGAATATGGATGGAGTAGCGCCCAGAGAGGAGGGAGAGCTTTGGGGTTTGGGCCATAATTAGACCTTGTGCCCTACATCAGTGTTTAGGTCTCTTGACTGCAACCCTCGGGAAGTACTGCTGACATTCTGATGACCCAGCACACACACAGACTGCGTGTAACAAGTTTCACAAAATGACATTGACCCTTACTACCTCGTAATGCTCTCCAGTACTTTCAACTCAATTTCATTTAAAGAAGTATGTTAGTCTCTGCCTATTAAGTTGATCTTGCGAACCACGGATGGGTAATGAGCAATTTGGCAAAACCACTGTCCTAGAGGGGGAGGAAATTCCCGGCTGGCTGCCTGAGAATCACCTGGGAAGCTTGTTAGAAATGCAGATCCCCAGGCCTGGCACCAGAGCCTCATGTTTCCTAGAAGAAGCGTCACCAGAGTTGGAACCACACCCCAGATTCTGGTTAGTACCTGCCTCAGCTGAAGGAGAAAGTAATCCCCACTCCTGCTTGCCAGTGGACGGGTGAGTGGGTGCTCAGAAGGAGAGAACACCAGCCTGGGGTCCCCCTCACTGGGCTCACTCAGGTAGGGGCCCCACCTGGCTGTAAGGCAGGACCGTTCCACCTCTGGGGCTGGCCAGCCTGGGTGGGTTTCTTCTGAACTCTTCGTTTACGATGAACACGCATCTTTCCGGCTGGCCTGGACGTGGGGCTTACCTGACTGTCACATTTCCTCCCCATTGTTACCCACCCTCTTCCCACAGTTGGCTGGGCTGGGGCTCGCTGGGATACAGGGACCCTCACCCACTCCCCCCTGCCCCAGGCTGCTGGGAGGAGCGGAGGGCAGCCTGGAGGACCCCCCCCCCCACCAGATACCTGGGGAGGAGACTTGCCCTCAGGCCGTTCCCTGTGTGGCTCCTCCGGCCTGAAGGCTACAATCACTGGCGGCCCATCCCACCCAGCCAGAGAGATAAGAAGGAATGTCTGAGGGCTGATTTCTTAGGGGTAGGTGGGGGAAGGATGCTGGAGGCCTCAGGGGAAGGTATTTGAGAAGCTGTGTGGAATCCAGATCTCAGCTGTCTTCCCCACACCATGTGGCCAAGAGCAAGGCTGGGGCTTCTCGGGGCCTCAGTTTCCCCCTCACTTAAGAAAGCCACTATCTGAGTTCTCTGGTTTCTGTGAACTTGGGAAACAAGGGTAAGGTGGTGCCCCACCTTCCATGCCTGGAGTCGGCTTCCACCTGACCCCTCCACCTAGGAATCTTAAGTCTGTGGCAGGACCTTTAGGTGGATCACCCCCCCTACAAAATAAAACCCTGACACCTTTAAGGAGGCCCCACCCACTGCAAAGTCCAAAGAGGTCGTCCCCCCCACCCCCCAACTTTCCAGGGAGAAAGTCCAGACCAGGGAGAAGAGCTTTAACTCCTCCCTGCCCTTGGGCAGTAGCCTGGCCCTGTTTGGCTGGGGCTTGGGCAGGGGGAGGTGCCAGCGTGATATGGGGGATGGGGAGGGCAGGAGCCCAGGGACCAAGGAGGGACCCACTGCTGTCTAGAGCCAGTGAGCCTGGGTTTCCAAGACAACCTGAGAAGGGAGGGGAGGCACTGGGCCCCTGTCACTGGACTCCTGATCTGACCAAGCAAAGCTGGAGTTAACCCTTCCCTTGCACGAGCGCTGCCTGGAGAACCTGCTCAGGGTGCAGGGGCTGGGGGCTGAGGCTTCCCTCTGGTGCTGCAGCTTTGGTCTGGGAATAAGTACCTCCGTCCTGTCCCACCATCCCTTGGGCCGGCCTAACCCTGTCCTACGCAGTCCGCAGAAACCCACTGCCATCCCGCCTCCTCCCTGATATCAGGCCCCTCTTTCCCAACCTTCGCTTTTGGCCTCCGCTGAAGGAGAGGGAGGGAGCTCTGAAGCAGGAAGCTGCACCCCCCTCACCCGGGACACAGTAAAACCTAGCACTGGCCAACATCCCTGACTTGGGGGCTGCCATCTGCTCACCATTCAGGTGCTCCTGAGATGGGATCACTTTGCATTTCTTGAAGAACTCATCAGTCTCCCTGTCGACCACCAGCAGCTTGGTCTCATCCCCACCAGCCTTGATGGCAGACACCACATCGCCATGCTGCTTGCCCTCCACGCAGACCCCGTTCACCTGTGGGGGGTGGGGGGTGCTGGGATTACTGGCACAGTTTTGGGGGGTAGGTGGGGGTGGTTTGAACCATCCTTTTCGTGTCCTCGGCCAGTTGGCAGTCTGGGGATGCGAAGCACCCCCCCCTTGCCTGTGGAGTCTTGAACTAAGCCAAGTGGTCCTCCCACTTGACAATCAAATGAGGAGGCAGGACCCATGAGAAAAGCCAAAGAAAATATCCAGAAAAGACTAAACAAACACAGCTGTGAGAGAAGGACAGGAAAGATCGGGCAGGCCTGGGATGGGCCCAAGCGTTTCTATGTACTTACGTCTGACTTCCCGCTCTGGACCGTGGTTTGCTCCCGTGTAAAATGAGAAGTCTTGGGAGAGCTGTTCTAGCTCTAAGGTTCTAAGACTGAGATTCTGGGTCCTGCCCATGGCACGGGGTTCATGTTTCCCTTCCTCCTGAGCACCACACAAGAGTGTCTGAGTGCACCTGCCAGCATGGAGGCCTCATGCAGTAGGAAACTGTGGGCGGCCCCACACGTCTACTGGAATGGCTGGGTGAACCCTGGGCCACTGAGTGTGTGTCTCTCAGTGAATAAGAACCCAGAGAAGGTGGGGGCAGGAAAGAAGTCCACCCACCATCCACCACCCTTCCTTCCCTCCCTCCTGCCCACCCACCCACCCACCATGCTTCTCCTCTCTCTGGCTCCCTCCCTCCCTCCCTCCATCTGGGATCTATGTGCCACCTGGACCCCTTGGGCCAACGAAGGAGCAGGTGGTGGGATGGCTGCCCCAGGAACTGCTTATCTGGGTGGAGGTAGGCAGGAAGGGGGTGCCTGGAAAGAGGGCGAGAAGCGTTACCTCCACGATGCGGTCCTGAGCCCGGAGCCCTGAGGCCTCGGCAGGCGAGTCTGGGTCCACCGCCCGGATGAACTGGCCTGGCCTGGACTTGTCGCTGTGCAAGTTGAAGCCGTAGCCATTGGCACCCTTCTTCATGGTGCAGAGCCGGGGCCGAAGCTCACGCTGTGGGGATAAGGGAGGGTCCATGGCCATTCTCCGTCATCCTAGGTCCCGCCCTCCCTGCCAGGTGCCTGACCCCTCCCCCTCCCCCCCAGGGAACACATGGGAACCAGACAAGTTTGCTGAGATCCCACAGAGCAATTTGAGAGAATGCTGGGCTGGGACCCAGAAGACCTGGCATCGTAGCAAACTGCCCAGGTGCCCCATCCAAGCCGTTACCTCCTTCTGGCAAATGGGAAGCGGGACCAGTTTAGCTCAAGTCCCTCCCCTTGTGACAGTCTAAGGTTAACTGTGTTATTTTGATTGTTACCTTATCCCTCCCCTGTAAAAGTTCAGTCTGGCCCCCTTTGGGGTGGGGTGGCACGACTGTTAGCCTGGCTGGGTGACTGGGGATCTGGGCCCCTTGGTACCCAGTTCTCTGCAGCAGGGGAGACAGGGCAGGTGTTTACTGAAAGCTGGTCAGCATGTTTATAGTAAAGCCTTTTCCCCATCCAAGCCAAACGGCCCAGCCAAAAGGCAGCAGGCGGCCAGATGACCCCAGACCCGGGGGAAGCACAGCCAGGGGTCCTGGACAGGACAGGGACCCCCACCAGCAGAAGGCTGGGGGCACAGGAAGCAGCAGAACCCCAAAGGCTCTGTTGGGGAAACCTGAATGGGGAAGGGGCCATGAAAAGCAGGGCTAGGCTGCAGGGAGCCCAGCGTGGCTGTGGCCACGGCCCAGAGTGGGGACTGAAAGGGCTTAGGCAGGTTTTTCTCCAGCACTTGGACACTCAGCTGAAAATGGTTTTCACCATCCTTGGTCCAACTTAAGCAGCTTAGCTTAGACACTGCAGCCCTAGGACCCATTTACACAATGGAGGGGATCTGGGTGTGCATGGGCCAAGCAACTGGAACCTTGGCCAGAAGCTTGAGCCCAAGGCCTGACTTGGGGGTCCCTCTTCCCCTCCTCCCAGGCCTGGGCAGGGCTGCAGCAGCCATCCAGCTAGTGCCCGGTGATCTCCCAGGCCACCAGGCAATGAGTGAAGGCTGGAGTCAAGGCCCTGGCCCCAGGGTCAGCTTCCCTACTTACTAGCTCTGTGACCCGGGGCAAGTAATTTCCTTCTTGCACCTCTGGTTCCTCATTTATAGGGTCCCAGGGTCGCCGTGAGGCCGAGTGAGGTAATTCACACAGGTGGGAACACTTCACAACTTCAAAATCCCTGTGCACATGCAGACCTTCCCAGTGCTGGGACCACTAGAATATTCACATGAATCCGAGTAGGGAGATTCTGGGGGGTAGGGTGGGGGCCAGGCTGCTCTGAAACGCCAGTCCCCAGCTGGGAGCAGAGCTGGCCAGGGAGGCAGTGAAGGAGAGGAGAGCTTACAGGCCTCCTGCCCCAACTTGCCAGTTCCAGGAGGCAGCTACCATCTGGGGCTCTCCACCCCTCCACTCTCATGGGGGTTGGGGGTGGCCGAAGGGTGACTTTGCTTTCCTTCAACTGCCCAGGCAGGTCTTTCCGTGTTTCAGGATGTTGGTGGGGGTTGTGGAGAGGAAGACAGGAAGGAGGGGTGATGGTTGGACCTGTGTTCACCCTGATCTGGGCCAGAGGCCCTGGGCCCTTCCCTAGTTTCTCCTTCAGCAGGCTCCTCTCACCCCATACAATAGCAAAGCCAGAGAAGCAAGCATTAAAAAAAAGTGGGGGGGGGGCAGAGGGGGGCCCCAGTGGTTGTGAAGCATCCTCTTCTCCCCAACTCTCCCTGTCAGCAGGGTGCAATCCCAGGAGGGCCCCCCTCCTCCCTGCGTGCTGCTGCTTATCCCCTGGCAGCCCCCACAGGATCTTGTTCGGGAGTAAGTGAGGCTCTTCTCCCCTCCAGCTAATCCCTCCACAAAGCCGCCAGCCCTCCCCCAGGCCGAGGTGAGCAGGAACAGGTCTGACCAGTTGCCACCACCGTGCAGGCTCAGCTTTCTGCCCCAGCCAGGCAGAGCCTGCAATCACCCTGAGAAAGTGGGGAGGAGAATCGTGCAGGGGGGGGGGGGGGGGGAGGTGGTGCGAGCAGCTCTGACGTCCCTGCTTCTCCCCACCTCCTCTCATTCCAAAGAGCCTTCCCATAGCAACCTGGCTGGGGCTAGTCACCCCCATTCTCAAGACGGAGAGTCCAGATGTTAAGCCCGCTGCCTGATGTCACCCAGCTTCACAGTGGAGGAGCCGGAGCTCCCACAAGGTCTCTGACTTGGACCCTGTGTTCCTTCCACCATCCATGGCCTGGCCCCGAAGGACCCAAGTCCAGACTGGGAGGAGGCCTCAGCGGGAGTCATAAACATGGGCTGCTCTCCCACAGTGGCAGCGGTCTCTGCTGGGAGGCAGCTGGTCGCTGATGAAACCACAGCCTTCCTTCCGGGTGCTCAAGGCCTCTTGCAGCCAGAGCTCCAGCCTGAGCTTGGGATGAGCGATGCAGCAGTGGGCAGGCCTGCGCTGGGGCAGCCTGGCGGTCAGGCCTGGGTCTCAGGGCCGCAGGCTTCTCTTACTGATCCTTGGCATGGGCATGCTTCCCTGCGCGGCGTCTGGTGCCCTGTCATTAAAGGCGGAGGGCCTGCTTTGAACCTCGCTCCCCTCTGCCAGTCCCAAGCCATGGGGATTGGAGGAAATGGGGCTCAGCTCCCCCACTGCTCCCTTCCCCCTGTACTGGGACCTGCTCCATTACCCTCTGGGGGTGGCTGAGCAGGGGGGCAAGAAGCTCCAGCTGGTTTCCTGAAATGTTAAGACACCTACAGAGTCCCATCCAGCTCCCTCCTTCCTAAGTCCCTGGGGGCTCCCCCCCTTCCCAAGGGGGGGGGGACTTCTCTTCTTCCAAGGAGACCAGCCTGTTTTTCTCCACCCCTCCCTCAGCTGTCTCCAGGAGGTGTCACTGCTAGATGCTGAGTCAGCCCATCAGAGGAGCCCATCCCAGCAGCCAGGGTGGAGGCTGGTGCTGGCAGGAGGAGTCCCTGGGCAGAGCCTGGCCACTGTTGTTCCTGGGCCTGCACCCCCAGCGCTGAAGTAGAATCTGGATCCTGCCTCTGGGGAAAGGGGGCAGATAGAAAGTCCAGACCATCTTGGTCTGGTGTGTGCCCCCGGGAGCTTGGGAGGGGCCCTGTGCCACAGTACCAGTTCCAGAGGGGTCCAGAGCTGGGAGTGGGGAGGCAACTTCAAGGGGAACATGGCCTCAGAGCGTTCAGAGTGCCAGGTGGGGCTCCCAGTAACTATGACAGGTCAGAAGTAGAAATCAGGACCTGCTCAGTGAGGAGCCTGGTGGAGACTCGGAAGCAAGAGGAAGGAACAAGAGGTAGTGGTGGCCAAAGGACAGTGCAAATGTGCTGGGGTGGCTGGGTGGGTCTGAGTCTCACTTCCAGGCAACACCAGACAAGCTTTCCAGAAAAGACCTTGCCAGAGAGCTGCCTCCAGACTCTTCTCCTGGAGACTTCTCCCACCCTCAGGTTGTCAGGCTGTCCCAAGTCCTGTCACAGGCCCCCGTGGCTGTCCCCTCCATTCCCCCTTCTCTCCCAGGGAGCCCAGCCCGGCCCCAAGTGGCCGCCCAGTCACCTCCACCCCCGCAGCCCTGGGAGTGGACGGATGGTGAATTCAATAGGCGCCACCAGCAACCACCTGGAAAGCCGAGGAAAGTCGATACCCTAATCCCAGTGCCCGTCTCTGGGGAGCAGGCCCAGGGCCGCTCCCTGTTCCTCCTGCAGGAGGGCTGCTGGGGGCCAACGCCCCATTGGGCCCAGCCCCTCCCTGGCCGATGTCATGGTGATGGGCCCTATAGAAAACAGCCAGGCTGCTTCCAGAAGGCCAGCCAGCTCTGGGCCCCAGAAGGAATGGGCTGTTAGAACAGGAAGACCACCAGGGTGGCTAGGGGAACAACAGAGGTGACCCTCACCTCCCAAGACTGCCCTTCCCCCAGCCCAGCCCAGCCCAGTCCAGCCAAAGGCTCTTGTTTATGCAAATAAGATTGAAGCCTGATGCCCCAGGGAGATCAGCCCCAACAATGGGGTGGGCGACAGGGGGCCAGGGGAGTGGTTCTGGTGGGGGTGGGATATGGGGTATGCTGGGCATTGGGAACGGTGGCTGCTCTGGGAGGCAGCTTGGTTGTTCCACGGAACTCTAGAGACACAAGCTTGGGTCTGGTGCTAGCTCTTCAAGGAAGCCATGATGGACGGCGAGAGCTGGCCTGGCCTGAGGGTGACATGTGACTGGGCAGCAAGGGGGCACCGTCCTCAGGGCAGGTTGGGAAGTGACCAGGAGCTCAGACCGCTGGCCAGTGTCCTGAGCTCTAGGCTAAAGGCATCCTCTCCTCACCTGAGGTACAAAAAAAGGCTTGGCGGCCACTGACCCATGCCCCACGGCCCTGGTGTGGCTTTACTTCACCCTACAGGACCTTCCCCACCCAGGTCTGTGCAGACTGAGGGATGTTGGACACCTCCATTTGCAAAAAAGGACCTCCTCTAGCCCTTGATCTTGTCCTTCCTGTTTGTCAGTGGGGGGAAGGCCCCTCTCAGGAGCCCAGCTGGGTGGATCTGGGAGGGAGACCTATGCTAAAGTGGGAGCTCTTCTCCCAGGCCCCACGCAGGGGCCCTGAGCCAGCTTCTCCCTCTGGTTCTTTTCTCCTGGTGCTGGCCAGAGACCCACCCGAAGGAGTTTGGCTCAGGTCTCCCCAGGGCTGGGCAAGCCTGGGACGGAGTAGGCTGGTACGTGGGCTGCTGCCTGGCTGGACACCATCCAGGCTGGCTGCCCCATGCCCGCCTGCTCCACAGGCAATGCATCCTCACCCTCCTCCCAGAAGTCACCGGATTTAACTGCTGTCCTGAGAGGGACAAAGACCTTCAGAGAGCTTGTGTAATTGGGGCTCTATTAAAATAACAACTAGAAGCTAATGTTTACTGAGCCCCTACTGGGTGCCAAGGACCACGCCAGGCTTTTCTGTGCATTTTCTCATTCACGCCCAACTATAGTCCTGTGAGGAAGGTACTCCTGCCCTCGGTTCCCAGATGAGGGAACTCAGGTTCAGAAAGATC